ATGGTTCATGGGGTCACGAAGAGTCGGACACGACTTAACGACTAAACAACAACAACAAGCCTTTTCAGTTAAAGCTGTTCTTCAATATATTTCTATATAACTATTTGTTTTAAGAAAATGAGAACTGCATTAGGTTAATTGGTAAGTCCATCAGATGCATATTTGTATCTGTCAGAGATTGGCAGTGTGATTGGGAGCTTAGAATTAGCTATGAAGAAAATAGCTTGTCTTTTGAAAATCTGTAAACTATTTTCATATATTTAGTGTACAACATTAAAGAGTTCTATAAATTAGTTATACAGGAGATCAGAATACTTTAGTCTACTGAAATTGGAAGGGAGCACAGCTGATTTCAGTGGGAGATGTTTCTCAATATGAGTACTGTATTCTGGAAGGTGGTGTTACTGTTTTTCAGATGAAGTCTGCCACCATTTCTTTATACTGGTCATTGATCAAATAAATATTACTGTACAGTACTTATACATATGTATGATGCATATAAGGGTTCCCTTTTTTTCAATATATTCAGTGCAAGATGGATCTGATTCTGTTCACTGGAACTTAATATCAAGTAGATTGTACCATTAGTTCTGTTATCAGGGCTAAAAATAAATGTTGTTTATATGCTGGAATGGTTGCTTATGCAATTTATGATGATCCTATTTTAGAACTGGCTAGGTGGAATCCTGTATGTTTTAATATTTATGCAGAAAATGAAAACTGTTCGCTTTTATTGGAACCATTTAGAAATATTCAAGTCTAGCCTATCTATGGTTCCTTGAAAGAACATTTCCAAAAAGATTGCAGAAAACTGTAGGGTTATAGTTTATTCCTATGGATGTGAGCTTTACTTCACTGAATGAGGCTTTCTTTCAAATAATTGTGCATAGGATTGCAGCTTAAACCAGTTGACCATATTCATCAGTTATATGGTGTGGGATTGCTTTACACCAGTGTAAGTTTGCCTCTGACTTTCCTCCGCTCTGTACCATTTCCCCAACAAGGTCAACTATGTTTAAGCCTGCTGATTTTTATTTTAAAGTAGATTTGTTTTGAAAAAAATGTTTTGGACCAAAGTTTTGTAATACTATCAGATTCCAATTATTTGCTCCAATATTTAAATTGGAATAATAACAAAACTTTTATTACTGAATATCTGACTGTTAAAGAGAACTTCAATATCTACAGAATATAACAATGAGAAACATTTAGTTTGTGTTCCTTTGCTTCATTGCTATGAATGAAGTGCAGATCATCAAGTGTACTTTTAAGTACATATGTTGGTTTGATAATGTAGATTAACTGTTGAAACATATGCGGGTTGCGGTGTCTGTGCTACCTCTGAGGTGGACCTCTTCAATAGGAGGCTGGAGAATAGTGATTTTTGAACAGATTCTCTAGCAATCCTGAAGATTCCTAAAATATAAAAGTTAGTATACTTTGTTTGAAATATAACTGTTTACCATAGTTCATGTTCTGGTAGTGCTTTGTATAGACTAAGAATATTTACCAGAATTCTTTGCTACATGAAAAGGATATTTGGAAACCAATTAATTAATATTATTTAGGGCTGGTGGTATGAAAATGCCCTCATTTTCAGACAGTTGTAGTTTTCAGTTTACAGTAGAGTGTATAAGAGTGACAGTGACTGTTGTGCGGAAAGTAGAGAAAATATGAATGGCTGGTTTGTTGAATTCTTAAAAATTGGATATTGATGCTGATGTGTATCTGGCTATATCCATAGTTTAGATGTCACTGATGTTTATCTGTTATGGTTTGCATTATTTTTGGAATTGTATGTTTAAGAAAGCTCTGATGAATTTGATGATTTTTTTAAAAAATTGATGTTCCTGAAAACCTAGTTATCAATTTATTGGATTGTAATTCTAACAACTTAGCAAGTACAATAAGTTGAACTTTTTTTTTCTTGTTCTAAGGTGATCAAAAGTCAAACTATTTTACTACATTTATGGTCATTGGGTGAGATGTTACAAAGATTTTTTGTTGATAATATATGTGAACATATTATTACTGGGTCTTTAGTAAAGATACAAATATATTTAACAATTCATTTTTAAAGGTGAGCAGAATATTGGTTTTCTACTTGCATTGTTTTAAGGGAGAAAGTGACAGTCCTATTAAATGGAGTAGACTTGCATTTTTGTATTCAGTTATCAACACTCAAATGAAATATGTAGTAGAAAGGAAGATGATACTGACTTTAAGCCAACTTATGATTAAACAGAAAATAACTATTAGTGAATCTAATGACTCACTTTTAAAGCTATTTGCAAAAATAAAATTATTTGGATAATCTTTTCTGATAAGTGCAGTTTGTACTATCCTGTAAACCCATATGACAGCTTGCTTTTTTTTTTTTAAAGAAAATACAATGGGAAACAAGAGATACCTATGCTAATTGATCAAATGTTATTTAGCTATGTCATAATTTAGTACCACTTTAAAAAAATAGAGACATGAATTTAATATTTAATGTGTGTTCGCCAATTTTATTTTTATGTCTGTAAACATGAGTTTATAGTAGGGGTTTGCTTAAAAATATTTTGAACATAATGTTTAAAATTGAGTAATCCTTTTCGATGGTTTATACACTGACACGTGGTCTTGGGTGGGAAAAGTAATTTTCACTAAACAGTAAATGTTACAATAAGTTATCAATCAATTTGTAATTAGAAATCCAAATTATATTGGGAAAATAAAATAAAGAGGACTTCCCAAAAAATTAAAAGTGTTTATGCTATTGTTGTTGTTAGTATATTTTATTTATACATTGTGTTTTTTTCCAGGGAGCTTCTCTCCACCCGTGCCATGTTATTCTTTCAAAAATTGTGTGATGTGTATTGGGCTGAGAGATAAATGACTGGCCCAAGGTTGCCTATATAGCTTCCTAGTGGGGTTGAGGGGAAAGTGATTTGAATCTGGCTCCCTGTGTCCTCATTTAAAATCTAGGAGGACATATAGAAATACTTCCTTTTTAAAAAAAAAATTACAGGTAGTCCTCAAGTTATGACCTCCCTGTGAATGCATGCACCATGCACCCTTTTTCCTCAGCCTTCCTGCAATTGCACACATGCACATAGTACCCCATGCCCTATTCCCACAGCCTCCCTACAAACGCACCCACCCCAGGCCCTATTTCCACAGCCTTCCTGTGATCACACCCACCCTGCACTCATTTTATTTATTTATTTATTTATTTATTTATTT